GAGAAAAACCTTGCTGGTACACCACACACGGCAACCCTCTTCAGCTGTCCTTAACATGTCCCCTAAGGCAATCTCAGCAAGAGAGAAGAAGAAATAGAACCACTTGCTTCCCTTGGCTTCTGTTAAGGATTTGGCCACAGATCTGATGTTTAAATGAAGGGCAAAGCTTTCTCTATATTGTGAAAGCTTCTAATAAGAAACTTGCAACACAGCTTATGATAAAAACATTAATCTAGCCAATGTTAAGAATGAAATGATATCCTGTGTAAGTTTCACACAGAATTTTCTCTTTCCTTTTAGAAAAAGAAAAAGCCAATTCTTGGTTCAACTGTAGAGTGCTTTTGACATTCTGGAACTTCTTTTCCTGTCCATGTGTTTGCTTATCGCACTGTGTTCTGTAAGTACGGAGGAACAACTTCATGGCAGCCTTAGATGTTTACACACCAACAGCCCATACAGAAGACCCAGAGAGACAAAGCATTGGAACAACCGACCTAACCACAGAGCAATGAAGATGTACAGGCCATGAGGCATGGCCACGGCATCATGAGAGATGGAGCCCCCTGAGGCAGCCAGGCTTCTTCCCTTTTGAAGAAACAAGCCAGCCACAGATGGGCAGAGGATTACAAGATTGCATTGTGTGACAAACCCTCTGCATTCCTGAAGGAGCTTGATAGGTCTAAGGCCAGATGGGATCATTTGTCTTACCCCCCTGACCCAGACAGTGGAATGCCAGTTTCCGGCTGGCTTCAGGCCAGTCATCTCTTGCTTTTCTCGTGTGTGCTTTTCATAGGCTGATTCTAAATCATCAAAGCAGGTGGACCCTTGAATAGTGACTGCTGTGTTCAGAGACACCTCACATTCTTTATATATTCCTAAGACAAACGTAGATTTCAAGCAGTATGGCTTCAAAATAAATGATGTAGAAACTCTTTTAGGGAAGATTTGAATGACATAAGGTTAAAAATCCTATTTTGCCTCACTGTGATCTTAAGAAATCAGAACTGGTCAGGGTATTTGAGAACTCCAAGTTCCCTGGTGAAGTCACACAATTTAATTTAATCCCTGGTGTGATTAAATTTTAGCATTTAGTAATAGAGAACCAATAAGAACACAGGAAGGTGGAATTTCATACTCTAAAGTGAGAATTACACAAGTCAAGAAGGAGTTTGCTCAAAACATCTGACAGTTCAAAAATATTCTACAGTTGAACTAAGAATTGACTTATTTTTTCTAAAAGAAGAGTAAATTCTATATAATACTTACACAGGACATCATGTTATTCTCAAAATGGGGGAGCTTTATTCTCAAAATGGGGTAGCTTTTTTTTCCAGAAAGCTTGTTTTGAGTAAATTCTGTTTGTGGGTGGTTCTCACTGACATGAAATGAAGTTTCTTGCACCAACCTTGGTCTGTTTCCAGAAGCAGTTCTCAAATACCAGAAACCAAGCACATGACAATCACGTCATTTTACTCCTATCAAAAAGCAAAAAAAAAGCTCCACAAATTCTAAGGGACTCACAGAAACATAGAAAAACTTACTGGCAACAAATCATGTTATGGATTTGCAGACTTAATATAGTTAAATTGGCATTATTCCCACATTTATCTAGAGATTGAATCCCCACTAAATTTCTACCTTGCTTCTTATAGAAATTCATATGTTGATCTTAAAATTCACATGGAGATTCAAGAGATCCTAAAAAGTCAAAATAATTCTGAAAAAAATCCTATGAAGCTACAGTAATCAAAACAGTATGGTATGGCATAACAATAAACATATAGATCACTGAAATAGAATAGACTCCATAAATAAACCTCAGTTCATTTGTGGGTGTGATTAGCCTGCTTTCTAGTTGCTGAGACACAGTGTCTGACATCTTCAAATTAAAGAAGAAGTTTAATTTGGATCAGGTCTCAGTGGATTCAGTCTATGGCCAGCTTTCTCCAGGCAGAAACATCCTGGTAGGAGAGTGTGGCAGAACAAAAATGTTTAATTCACGGTGGTTCATAAACAAGGAAGGGGAACAATTCCAGAAGGGGTGAGGGCTCAGATGTAGCACTGAGGTCACACCTCCATGACCCACCCAGATAAACCCAGAAGTGTGTTCCACCAATCTCCTCAGTAGCTCCCAAGCCAATAATGCTGACACATTACTGTCACATCCTACTCCTTGGGTACTTGACACCCAAACATAGCTCCTTAAGCAATACTTAATTCCCAAATGAACACTAATTCATAATTCTGCCTAAAATTAGACAAGTATCTTGCATAAAACTGAAAATGCAATCTCTTCTATAAAATCACAATAATTTTCAAGAGCTCAATTCCAGCTCTCTTCTGAGACTCAAGGCAAACTGTTGGATGTGAGTCTCTCTAAAAATCAAAACAGGTCACATAATCACAAGCTATAATAAATAGCACAGGGTAAACATCCCCTTTCCAAAACAAAGAAATAGGGAAATAGAAAAGAATAGGATCAAAGCAAGACTGCAATCCAGCAGGGCAAACATTAAGTCCCATGGCTTCATATCTGGCACCCAGAGCACCTGAGTTCTAAAGGGTTTGGGTAGCCCATTCCTGCAGCCTTGCTGGTTGCAGCCAACGTGGTCATAGACTATCTACACCCAGAGTCTGCAGCACTATCAGCAGGTATTCCTGTTTCTGCCTTCTTAGGCTTCATGGGGTCTCCAATGCACCACTGATTGCATTCTCATAGTTTTCCATATTTTTATCTCACGGGCTTTTTACTTAGCTTCCCCAGGTCTCCCTGACTCCTTCAATCTTGCGTTCTGCATGCTAGTAAAACCAGTATCACATGGATGACGCCATGGTCTGGCACCAGCACAAGAAATATCCAGGGCCCATGAACCACGGCTGCACCAACTTCTGAGTGCCTACATAGCCAAGCATGGTAGAATGAAACCCAGGGAGCCAAACCCTTAGGCAGAACTTTTTGAGCAGAGGACCCATGGGTTCTCTACTTTGGCCTCAACTTTAAGCATGGTTCCTTCTTGGACAAAATTTAAATTTTTCAAATTTTCTTTTTTGTCCTTGATTTTCACTATTAATCTGAAGTTTCCTGAGCCTGTCATTTATGGCCTTCATTTCCATAAGGATTCTGGTCCCTTGAGCTCTGATCAGAATCACCCATTATGCGGTTTACAATATTCTAGGGATACTGTGTCTACATCTCCAAATCTTTCCAAATTCCTCTCACAAACTAAGTTCCAAAGGCTTCTGAATCTTATGGTCAAGTATAAGCATATGAATAATCCCACTCTGGTCCAAATTTTCTGTATCAATCAGCTTTCTGATTGGTGAAACACTGTGTCCAATACCAACGCAACACCCACAATTTAAGGAGACAGGGTTTAACTTGACTCATGATCTCAGATGTTTAGTCCATGGTCACTGAGCTCCAAGACAGAAACACAGTGGAAAAGTGTGGCAGACCACAGATGCTTAGGTAAAGGCAGCTGGAAACAGAGGAGAGGAACAGTACCATAACAGAAGGGACCAAAGACTCACACATAGACCCAAAAGCCAAGTCCATGACCCACCCAGACATACTCAAATCCCTGGGTGGCTCCCAATCAAAAAATCTTTTTTGTTTTTTTGTACTGGGGATCAAAAAGTCAATCCATCTTAACCATCACAATGCACAAATGATTTTGGACAATGGTGTCAAGGCAATTCAATGGGGAAAACAGTATCTTTCCAATATATGATGCTAGGGCAACTGTTTATTCACATGCAGAAGAGTAAAATAAAGTGGGATCCACTAATCATACAATTAAAATGGATCAAAGACTCGAACGTAAAAGTTTTAGAAAAAACCATCAGCATAAGTCTGTCACTTTGGATTAGGCAATGATTTCTTAGATTTAACAGTGAAAGTACAAATAACAGAACTCAGAAAACAGATAAAGTGTACTTTATCAGAATAAAAACTTCTTTGCTGCAAGGAATACCATGAAGAAATTAAAAAAAAAAAACAGATCAAATGATGGAAAAGAATACTTGCAAATCATTTATCTGATAAAGGACATTGTCTGAAATATACAGAGAATGCAACACTAAAAAGAAAAATAAACCCAATTAAAGTTAGCAAAGGTTCTAAAAGATATTTCTACCAAGAAGAAATACAGATGGCCAACAAATACATGGATACATCATTAGTCAACAGGGAAATGCAATGCAAGCCACAATGAGATACCATTTCACATGCACGAGGGTGGCTATAATCAAAAAGACAGATGTGTTGTGAGAATACGGACAAGATAGACCCCTCATACGCTGCTGGTGGGAATACAAAGTGGTCCTGGAAGGATAACAATGTTTTTGCTTCTGATTTAGAGACATGGAAGATGGTATTAAATGTCCAAGTGAGCCTGTACATCATGAGCAAGATCATCATTCCTTCTCCAGGATCACTGTGAGCTTGATAAACTTGCCGGTTAAAATCACAATACCATATAAATAAGGAAAAATCTCCACTCTGTGGTTAGAAAATTTGTGCTCAATCATACTGTCAATTTGTCATGACTGAAGTAGATTAGAAGAAAACCAAAGTTTTAAACTTTTATTTCTAGGAAAGAATGCTCAAACATTCGCATATTTACTATGTTAATATTAGTGCTTAACATTTTTGCCTCACTAGGGTGAAGCAAAACAAGCCTTACATTCCTAAGGTTTAATTCAATGCTTTTCCCCTCCTCATTGCTTGAATTTAGCACAGACGTCCTCACAGCTGAACTCTTCACAGTCATCCACATTTCTCCCATCTTTCTCGCCTGAACTCTGGCAACTGGACCTTAGCGTGCGAGCTCAAGAGAACTGTCCCTGAGCAAATCAAACATCAGCCCTGGGTTACAGGCAAAATAAAACTAGTGATTACATGCCAGGGTCAAAGTGTGTGTGTGTGTGTGTGTGTGTGTGTGTGTGTGTGGCCTTACATTGCCAGTTTCTGCTCCGAAGGAGCTGCCCTAGGCTCTCACCTGACCATCCAGGGAGGCAGCGGCAGTGGCCCGTGGTTGGGTGGCAGCCATCTGCGTGGCTGCAGTCACAGCGCTCCGCACAGTTCAGCCCGTAGGTGCCATCCTGCAGGGAGACCGGATCACAGACAGCAGTGAGACACTGGGCCTCCCAGAAGGGAGCCACGGGCAGTGATTTCAGGTCAGGACCTACTCTCCCAAGACACCATCACAATGGCTTCTTCCCGGGTCTTCTTGGTTCCCTCAAGTGCAAGCTCCAGCAGGGCAGAGTTTTAAAACTGCTCAAACTCTAGTGTATGCCTGATACAATGGTTAGGATCATGAACAGTGAGACTAGGTCAGCATGCTGGTATGCATATGTACATTATACGTAAACATGCCAGCTAATTAAAAAAATCTTTATCATAAAGCACAGCACATAAAAATATTTTCTTTCGTTCCTAAAGATTTTTATAATACAATTCCATGCTTCTTGTAATCCATTCTGTTCTTTCGTGGACCCTGGCTCCATACATTTTTTTAAATTATAGTTTTAATCAGAATAAGCTGATTTCCATGTTTTCAATGTGATATATTGGCATTATAGAGAAAAGTGAAAATTTTCTCTTTTTCCTAATAAATATTTTCCTCTCCAGGAAAAAGTCTGGACCACGTGAAATATTAAATACATGTTGTTCCAGCCTCCTTCTTCTTCCCTTCCTAGAGCTGCATGTTTTTCCTGGCATATTAGTGTGGGTGGTCTGCAGAGATGAGACTCTTGGTGGATGGATCATTTCATTTATGGAAAAAAAACAGGCTGTGCACTTGCAGGGAAAACCCTGCTCTTTTCATCTAGACCTGGAACTAAGGGAGAGTGTTACAAACCTCCCCAGACTAACCCAGGACTATGGGAAAACCTGGGTATACCATTACCAAGCAGGGAAACAATGGGCACCATCAGCAACCAGCAGTGGGTGTCAGATGGCATGATCATTTGTCTAGAACTTATTGAATCATTTTTTAGGCTGCACTATTATTTGATAGGCCTGCACAGGATTTACCTCTGTCATGATACAGTCCACTAAACTATCAGCTTTCACCGATTTCCTAATGTGTCTAAAGCAGGAAAGGTGGTTCCAGAGGCTTTCCTTTGTCCACAGTCAGATACGGAATGAAAGGCGACCTTAGGACCCATTTCCACGTACTGCTAATTTGTTCACTGGTCTGAAGAGAGGCACCAAAGCTAAAGTAACTCTGTCCTGGAGGTTTGGAGGGCATGGCACAGCCTGGGGGAGGGAGTCCTCGGTCCTTTGGGAAATGGGTTGTCCTTAATGAGGAGGAAGCCCAGAAAGAGAAAAGCCTCCTCGGAAGTCCCTTCTCCAGAGGCCTAATTCAGGGGGTCACATTGTTATCATGCCATCTGATGATGCCCTGGAGGCAGAGAACACACACCACTGAGAGAGTGCTTAATGGCCCTGCAAAAAAGAATTTGGATGGAAGAGAGATGCAAAGAAGGGAAAGAAACCAGTCAAGTGCTTTGCAAAGAGAAACCAGCAGGTTACTAGAGAATACACTTCCCATTTGCACCCCATCAGCCTGCAGCAGATACAGATTTCTAGTAATTCATGTCTCCTAAATAGGTCAAAAAAATGCAGTGAGCACTGGAATGAGAGAAATCTTAGGAGATTCTTTTGCCTCCAGAGTTATTTACATTAAACTACGCTGTTTCCAAACCTTTTGTCACTTCAATGAGCATTTCTGTGACACCAGTCGCCACCCCTTTTCAATTCCCTGCTACTTCCCACCCCAAAGGCTAGGGATTTCCATTATAATGGGGACAAAACCTTTGGAGAGTGACAGGCATACACTGAGTGTTTGACCAATGCTGCTGATGGGCTGCCAGCAACTAATGAGTATATGAGAAACAGAAAATACTGGACGGGTGTGGAGGAACCAGGAAAGAGACAGAAGAAGGAAGACATTCTCACAAAGCCTTTATGAGTGACTGCTGTGTCCATCTCACGTCTAATCTTATATCCACCTTGGTTCTTCTAGTAGCTGCTGAAATTTGGTTCACACTCAGCTACTTTAAGTCAGGAAAACTGCAGAAAAAGAAACCAGCTCTCCAGCATCCGCTCCTCCTAGGCCTTCCCTGCTGGAGCAGGCTTACCTGACAGGGAAATTCACACTTCTGCCCACGCCATCCAGGGGCACACGTGCAAGTTCCATCTAGGGTGTTGCAAGCTCCCCCATGAAGGCACTGGCAGGTTAAGTTACAGCCAAAACCCCATGTGCCACTGGGACAGCTGATGGAGCAGTCCACGCCATGCCAGCCTGCACAAGAAGAATATGGGGGCATGTGAGAATCCATAGCAGTTACCATGTTTCACTTTGGAAGCATCTTGGGGACGCACAACAGCACTTCCCAGCCAGACCCAGCCACAGAGAGCCTTGGCTCCTCCACAGAGGCTGCCACCAGAAATAAACAAAAGGCACCCTGAGGACCCAAACAGCTGCATGTGCCATGTCATCTGCCAAGGATGCCAACACTGAGAGGCACCCCTGGGCTACTGGGGAAAGAAATATAGAATGGGACAACTTCAATGTGCAGTGATGCATGATGATGGAATGCTGAATACTGCTCACCTTGAGAAAACTGGAATATTTATATGGGAAGAAGCAGAAGGGTTGTGCTTGAAAGAATGTCCTATCTGTGATGTAGGACCCCACTAACCACAAACAACATGTATCGAAGATCCTGGTTGCATTTATGGATAGACATATTCTGGGCCTCACAATCTGTGCTTGGCTGCATTTCTTGTCCCACGTCCAGGCCAGTGAATTCAGGAGCACATGTCTTCTTGTCACTCTTCCCCAAATCACAGACTCCCAGACTTCTAAAGCTGGCAGCAACCTCAGAGATCATCTGATGTGACCCTTTCTCCTGGACCCATGAAGACATCAGAGCCCACATGGATTGCAGGAAGGGCCTACTGAGATCAGGCACTGACTTTTGGTGTAGCAAGTGACAAGGAATCTTGTCATGGTTGCCTTCCTGTAACTTTAGGAGACAAGAGGACTCAAATCAAACAAATGACTCATTTGCCTTACCTGCCTTGCAAGTACAAGAACCATCCACAGGAGAGCAGACAGCACCATTTTTACAGCCACAGTGAGAGGAACAGTTTATCCCATAGGTTCCTGGGAGGCATGGGGTGGAACAATCAATTCCCTACAGGGCACAAATAGCAAAATGCAGGTCATTTTGGCAATTGTAACCAGTTTGGCAAGGCCAACACTAATAACAAAAATATGTTTTGGCAACGCTGGTTTTGTTTCTTCTCTAATTTTAACAGAGTGCATTTTTCAAGTTGCTCTAACATCACCGCTATACACATTTTAGAGATTCAAGGGTAATACTAGCTGGTTTATGTTTAGGATAGCATATTAAATGAGACCACAAAAAGCCTACTGCCTTCGGAGGCAAACTAAAAAAATAAGCCTTTCATCCTTGCTCAGACAAGTCGATATATTAAGATAAATTGTAGCTGTAAAATTACTGTAGATAAATATACAGGCATAGATGTGACTATTCATTAGTTTCCAATGCTTCCTGGACCTCCATGTGTACTATGTAATATCATTAGTAAGTGCAATGAACCAACAGAATGCACAATTAGCCAGCAGCATGATTCAATTTATTCAATAATGAGCATTAAACACAGAATTGGGCTACCAGGGATGACTGGAGGGCATCTCTTCTCAAAAATGTGGGGGAGCCAGGGCTCTTTTCAAAACAAAGGTTAAATGAAGGGTTCAGTAAAAGGGCATAGGTTAGGAAACTCTGTGAAGATTCCCTCAGTTCTGTGATTTTATGATTCTCCCAGTTCAACAGTATATGGTCTGGAATAATCATCAACATTCTTCAAAGTTCAATCTTATCGCCTTTAGAACGGGAGCACATAATTCAAGAGCAACACATTCTCCTTCAAAAGATTCCTACCTATAGTTAGAAAAACCTAGAAACGGAGGGACAATTCTGCTTTACCAGCACAGAGGTGTACTTGTAGTGCCTTGATTCTCAAAGGGACCTAAAAACTATGTAAAACTAACTGTAGAACACAAATTTATAATAAATGCTAACTTGCTGTACTGATGGCTCTTTGAATTTCACGGAATTAAAACAGTAACTGTTGACAATAATAACTTACTTGAAAACTAACTTTTTTGTTCCTTATAAAAAGAGAATAAAATAACAGTTTAAGGAATGATAGTAATGCATCATACTTGTGGATACATTCTTATATTTTAATATAAGATAATTTAATTAATATAATTTTAAAATTAATGATAATTTTAAATTAATGATACACTTGCAGTTCTATCAGCTTTCTTAGTCTTCCCTCAAATGTCATCACTTGTATCTCTACCAATAGTTTTCTCTTTATTCTCCCTATTATTAATAATGGGAATGATCTGAGCACATTTATTGCACTGCGCAGTGGGTCATGTAAGTTACGGTATTGACACATTGCCTCTTACACCCTCCTTCTGCTTGCATTGCCCAAGTCACTCACTTTGAATCCTGGGGCACAGGTGCACTTTCCAGTCACACTGTCACAGTCGGCCCCATTTTGGCAGCTGCAGATCTGCTGGCAAGCCTCCCCGTAGAATCCAGGAGAGCAAGTCTCGTTACAGTAGAGTCCCGACCAGCCTGCATTGCAGGCACACTCTCCAGACATGGGGTGACAGCTGAGAAAAGTGGATGAAAGGAGTAAGTCTTTCTGGGATAAACATGACACCCTACGCCTGTGCAAATGTTGCTTTAGCCATGATCACTAAATGTGTGGGTAATTCCATGCACAATCAACTGCGTTCCCAGGCTTGGTATCATTTAATTAATTGGCTGAAACCTGATTGGTACTGCAGAAATGTATGAAATCGGTATCATGCACTTGCATGATGACTACTACAACCATATCCTTTTATTGGAAATGCTTTTTAATTTTCTTGAATCAAAAGCACTAATTCAAATCACAGGCCCATTACTATGAGAAGTGCCAAATTCCATCCAATGAAAATACCACATTAGTTAACCAGTGTGAGCCCAAACAACTCCAAAAGCAGTGATCCTGGCAGCCTGCGTGTCTCCTCAGCTCCCTCTACCTGGCAGCAGAGCAGCTGTTGTTACCTGAAACAGCAGGCTCATTGAGGGGACAGGCAGCCAGCTGTTGCTCCGTAACAAATGGCCACATCAGCTGTGCTAGATACATGTGTGAGGATACTGACACAATAGGACATTCTGTGGCACGCTGGCTCAAAACACATGTGCTTCTCACTACAGGAAAGCCCTACCAATCAAAGTAGCTCTGCTGACAATTGGAGGACTGTTTGAAGATGAATTCTGACCAGTGGAGTCAGAACCTTTCCCTTAACCAGAGCCAACAACAAGAACCTGCTGTTGCACCCACTTTTGCTAAATCAACTCCTACCAGAGGACAGCTCACAGATTGTCTATGTTTGGAACAAATGATGGTCTAGAAGACATGAAGGCTGTAATTCCCCCAGTGAAGGTACACAACCTCCTGGTCCTGATGTTGCAGTCTGTCCAGAGAGGGTCCCAGTCACACCTCAGAATCTCCTGTTATATTTCTTTTCTTTCTTCTACTACTTTTCTTTCTCCTTCTTTCTTCTTCAGAAAAAGACCACAGGCTGGATGGTTTGCTCCTCATGCTCAGAAATTTATTAAAATATACCTAGGTACTCACAGGCAAAATCTGTTACAGTTTACATCTAGATGGCCCTCACGCACTCACAGGTGGGCTCTTCAGAGGTGGCTGGTCCAGGCTACGTGAATGTGGATTAAGAGTGTGCAAATATGGATTAAGGGTGTAATCATTAAATTACTCCACAGATTGGTTTATCCTAGTTCTGGGTATGGATGATGGGAAAGCCCATTTTAGGTATGGGTAGCACAACCCCCAAAGGCTTGTAACTTGAAAGGGATAAAAGGGAACGAGAGGCTTGCTGCTATAGATTTCCTGCTTCTGCTTCCTGCCTGCTCTGCCAAGGACTATTTGTCCTCTGCTCTACCCCTCCGCCATGCCACCCTGCTTTGAAGTCAGCCTTCAATGGACTGAAACCTCTTACAAACTCTGGACTAACATAAACCTTTCCTTCTTTAATTTGAAGTATCAGGTACTTTGTCTCAGCAACGACAAAAGTAACTAAGTCAGTATCCAGCACAAACATACTCGGGAAACATGGTTAGAAGAAATATACAAGTGTAATTCTGCTATTGAGATAATGTCCTGGGTATCAAAGGTTTAGATTCAAAAGATAAGGGTTGGAGTCCCAGATCTCTGTTTTTATGCCTGGGTAACTGCTTATTCTTGAGCAGGCATCTGGCATCCCTATTGCATATCAAACATAACATGTTAAAAAAAAAAATGAGCCCTAAGGCGGGGGATGGAACTCAGAGGTAGAGGACTCGCCCAGCATGCACAAGGCCCCGGGCTTGATTACCAGCACAACAAACCAAACTGAGTCCTAGTTCTTCCCTTTATTTATCATTTTGTATTCTCCACTCATGTTTCTGTACATGGTTTATCCAGGAATTATCCTCATTGTCTACCCAGGAGTTACTCTGAAGATTCCTGCAGCTTTCCCTGCCATATTGAATTTATCACTAGGACCTAAGTTTTCCAATCTCTAGAACATTTTGACTCTCTCCACATCCCTTTGTCTTACTATTACATCTTACTCTGTGTCACAAAACTACTCTGTATCACCTGAATTCCTCGACAACTTTGCAATTTTTTCTGTGGCAGCCACACATTTATGCCTAACGCATAAATCAGATGATCTCATTCTCCTCCGCCAAACTCTTCAAAGTTTTACTTTACGTTTAGAATAAAAGCCATATTGTGTATTACAGATGGTATGACCATATAATTTATTGTGTAAACTGGAACATTTTTAAGAGCGAAGAGGGAGCTTGTAATACTCACATTAGGGTAACAGGCTTAACCAGCTTGTCCTTGTGAAATCAGATACACAGTCACTCTAAATATAGCCCACACGGCCTGGGCTTCTGGCCACTGCTTCTTCTCTACCCCTCTTTTCATCATTTCATCAAATGCTTGACCACAATGCATTTCTTTTAGTGTGTAAAGGCATCAAGTGTTTCCAACCTCAGGGTGCCCACGTGGGTTTTTCCAGTTTCCCAGAAGGAAATGTCTCTACTCTTTAACTGTCTCTCTCCATCTTGCCCTTCTAGTCTAGCTCTTCTCCCAAATTTCAAATAGTTCTCTCCTGTTCACTTGCACTGTGTCTGATACGCCTCCTCAGCTCACTTATCATAACCCATAAGACTATGTTTACTTCTACAGTTCTTTAATGTCTTTTTTCTGCTCCAAAATGTGAGGTCTATGAGGGCTGCACATGACAGCTTTTCAGTAAAGACACAACTGATGCTCCGTGCATCCAACTCCAGAACTAGCTTCCACATATTAGTCTCTTTCTTCCTGAAGTCTGTCAAAGACGGTCTCTCAAGCAATGCTATATGGGAACCAGTATAACTGCGTAAGTCTTGGCATAAAGGGAACCATCACTAGGAACCATTAGAATTTGTGTTGTTACTGTGAGTGAAGGTGCAGACCAGCAGTTAGTGTTTACAAAGCACTGAATAGGTCCCAGGCAGTGGAAACATTCCGCGTGTGATATCGAATTCAATCCTCGTAACTGTTTGAAATTATGGTCATAAAACGGGTCAGACTTATTTAAAGTCTCACACAGGTAGTGGCAGGATCAAACTTGAACCAAGGTCTGTTTTTATACCCAAGAAAAAGGAAATTTGCGAATAGCCTGCAAGGGGCACTAGATATGAAAAACAGTTGCTATAATTTAGGAGTCAGCACTTCTAATCACTATCAGGTGAGCAAGATCGTGCAAAACAGGAGTGGGGTCCATTTAAATTTACTTCAGGAAGGCCCTACATTTGAGAAAAGGAGAAGAAAATATTGCAAGTAGTGGGTTAGTTTACATTATGTTAACATACTAGAAAAGAAAAGGCATTTGTGGTAGAAAATATTTCTTTACATTAGAAAAGTAGAAAATAATATTCATGATGTAGGTATAAATGTGTTGAATGACATGGATAACCTGGGGACAGAGAACTGAACTGAGAGGCAACAGAGAAACTGATACTCGACACCCCCCAGTGAGTGGTGGTGCAGCGCACTGGTTCTCAGGTTGATTGACACTGAAATTAGCATTCTGCAATTTGTAATTAGAGGTAGGAAGCCAGAGCACTTTGGAGACATTTGATGGGTTCTCATGCAAGCAACTTAATTGGTAATGAGATTTACGTGCTGATGTAGGAGTAGCAGTTTGGAGGTTGAAGGGTGATATACTCAATACCTTTTCTAGCTAAAGAATAAACTGCACATAGGAAAGCAGGGTTATACACATAGGGGAATGCTTGTTATCTTACCCATATTACTACATACGCACTTTCTAGTTATTTTTAAATTTCATAATTAAATATTATATACAATAATAATATACAATATTAACTGGAACAGGACGAGTCATCGAGCTTCCTTTTATTCATTTCCTAAATGTTATTAATGTTCAAATGCAGTGGCAATTAGGTGGCATTTGCAGAGAGGCATATCCTGATTGCCAGCAGCTACTGAATGAATGTCTGTATTAATAAGAGCTAATATACATATGCCATATGGAATTTAATTAAACATCAAATTTTATTTTCTTATTCAAATCATTTGTACCATAAAAGGTATTTTCAGGTGAAAAGTTCAGGTCATGATGAAATGTGTTTAGGCTCAGAAATAGTGTTAAAATTTAAAGTACTAATACTATATATACATATATATATATATATATATATAAAATATATATATATATAAACTCATTTCAACTCAACAATAGATCACAAAGTAAAAATGATTATAAATTCTTTGCAACTCGTTCCATAAAGAGGTGAAGTATACTGAATCAGGACTTGCTTTGTCTTAGAAATAAAAACTGCAAATATGGCACAACCACAGGCTTGAACGGTGTTTTCATGTTGGGACCTCCCCTGCCTTTTGCTGCTTTTACAAGGTGGTCCTCTGGTAAAGAAGCCCAACACAGCCTACTAGATGCTGGAGTACATGGCTCAGGCACTCCTAGCACCCAGCCAAAATGCCAGATGTGCATATGAGTATATGCAGGACCAATCTCCTGACCCACCAGGTGAACACCGGAAGACCAGCAGAAGAATCCCCACTCTAAGCCCAGCCAGAATAGCCAAGCAAAAAATCACCAGCTAGTAAGTAAATAAATCTGCTTTATGCCACTATGTTAGGGGGTGGATTGTTTTTTATGACGTGGCATAAGCTAATCAATAAAAACCTCTACCTAAATATATAGCTGCAGTACATGTCAATGTGTGCACCCATTGAACTCAAAACTTAACCTAAAGATAACAAATATTAATTTATATGGCATTAACTATCTCATTAGTTAAAATGAAATGTCAAAGTATAATGAAATATAAAGTATAGTGAAAGCTTTAAGGATAAATGTATGTCATGAATTATGCAATAGCAAAGCTCCATTTGCTTGATTAGACTGCAGATGAATAAGTTAGATCTTTGAATTAAAAAAAAAGTTCCTGTGCTTTTTGGTTCAAAGGGACACTGTTTTTCCAGGAATTTTATATGGAAGTCCAAGATACAGGAATTCTGGGATGTCAAGATATAGAAATTAACAGATGGCTCTGACTATGAACCCAACCAGATAGTCACATAATCAATATAATAATGTAACTTATTGTAATAGAAATTTATAAAAATTAGTCTTTAGCAGTAGCTTTCATGCTACTTTTAATCTTCTGATATCTGATATACATTAGTAGACAAATTTTATCTTTATATTATCTATGAAATTGTCAAGTAAGGTTACGTATTTCTTTGTTAAAGCATACGTATTTAGCTACAATGCTGCCTGATGCGAAATTATCATAGTACTGGTATCAAGGAATTCTCTACCTCCATCTTACCACTACTAACATAGTATCCAATTTCAACAATGCCAATTTTTTCTCTGCTTCTACCATTTTTCTCATAGCAGAGCTCTTTCTTTCTAAAGATACATCACTGCATTTGATTTCAACAAAATACAACATGGACATAATGTTCTTAGCTATTGCTACACGAAACTCACACTTTTTTTTCCAACAAGCCTCATGCCTCAGGAAAGTAAGCCACATTCATGGCTTGTCTCTAATCCCACTAGCTCTTTAACTATTGGAGAACTAAAACAAAACTCCACAGAGGCTATTCACATTTATTCCTCAAATGTTTACCTAAACATTGTGTTGAGAATGGTAATATTTTTCAATTGAAAAAAAAACTCCCAAAACTTGGAGGATATACTTTTTGACATGTCCCACTAAAATACACTCCAGGATAAACGCACACCACACAGATACAAAACAAAGTGAACTGTTTTCTTTCTTTCTTTTTTTTTTTTTTCTGTTCTTAACAATGACTTGAAGAAAAGACAAACGATATGCTTCTTTTTACTTCTGACTTTTGCACATTTGGGATTTCATGTGGCCATGAGTTATCCTTCAGAAGTATAAATGAAGTAACAGCTGTGCTGAATGCAAAGAATAGTAATTCTAACGACATCTGAATTGCTATGTAAAGCACTACATTTTTGTCAAATTCAGTTTTTCCAGAAGTCTTCAAACAAGGCCCAGAATTCTAAGTTATGTGTATCTAATCTGGTCCTTAGAGAAGGGAAATGAAGAGGCAGGGTGAGAAGATATTTTTAGCAGACAAGGTCCAGGAGGGTGGGTGGGATGGTGGTTTCCTGTTCTCAAATTCTTTGCGAGATTTTTGAGCTAAAAGACCCCTTTGAGTAATCAGTTCTGAAAAGATATTTCCCATGTGACGGCCACATGTGAAGCACTTTCACAAGACTTTCACTGATCCACTTCCTCTCTGCAGGCCTTTCCCTTCCACAGATGTGTTGTCAAGTAAAAGATAGTGCAGTAAAAAATATTTTATGATACTTTTATGTTCTAAACTTGGCTTAACCGCTTGTCTCTCCACTGCGTCTTTGCTTCTAAGGGAGTGTCACAGAATCCCTCTCTTAAGGACAGTGTACTACATGCAGCAAACTTAATCTTTATCAGGTGCTATTAATGGATAAGAGAATTTCATATCCACCAACAACCATCTAACCATTGTAGCACTTCTGACCTGGACCATCACACATTGATTCCTTTGGCGTGATGATTCCTGTCCAGGATATTCCTGGGGTAGGAAGGGTCTCACAGTGGGAGACTCTATGGATCCATTCTTCCAAATCCTGGACACTAAGATTAAAACTTCAATAGGACACATTCTTCCAGGGACAACCACCACTCACCTCTGAGTGTTGTCCAGGTGGCAGGGGCACCGCTTGTCACATTTGATGCCATAGAGACCCTCTGGACAGAGGCGTGCTTCGCAGAGCTCGCCACCAAAGCCAGCTTCACAGAGGCACGTGCCGCTCACGTGGTAACACTTCCCTCCATTGACACACCTGCAGGTCTGGGCGCAGCGCACGCCATAGGTCCCAACAGGGCATTCATCCTGGCACCTAGCGACCAAGAGGCAGGGAAGAAGATGGATGAGTTAGTGCCATGTAAAATGAAATGGTGCATTCAAAATGGTTTTATTGTACACAAATAAAACTTTTTATTTACTGATTGTCCTATTCCAGGTAGAAAACCATTAAGATGAATTATTCTGGCTATATAATAGAAACAGCAGAGGAACAAGTACCAAAACATAATCAGATTGTAAGCTCGGGACGTGAAGAATGCTTCACACTTTGTGTTTGCCAAAGGCATAGTTAGCACTTTAGCAGACACCAAGAAAAAGAGGAATTGTCCATACGGTAGTCCCAGACCATAAGGAGGAAATTTAAAAAGTCACTTTGCCCCATTTCCAATAGAAAACTTTGTGACCACTTGACACTGAAATTCAATTTCCTAGCTTCACACTGACATTAATTTTTATCTCAACTATTACTCCTCGCTGGGGATTTGCTCAGTGGCCACGCTCCTGCCTGATAAGTGCAATGTCGTGAGTTTGACCCCTGAGACAAAAAACAAAACAACAACAAAAAAACTTCCTTCAACTATGACTCCTCTCTTTTTAAAGCTCAGTAGTAATCACTGCCCCTCATTTAGAAAGCTATGTAGCTAACAAGAGTAAAGTTTCTTTTAGATTTGGGGAATTCTGATCTATCGACAACAGGTGTCCTCTATTTCAACTGGGACGCTCTTGCCAGTAGGTTATAGGAAAAATCGGAGTGTCCCAAAACAAAATTTTTGGCAAGAGGGATGTCATCTTCTGTGATGAAGAAAATCTGCAAAATGGCAAGGAAAAAATATTAGACACTGAAAACTTAGTTTATTTGTTTTTAAAAAAAATAATACTAGAATTCTGTCCTGCAAGATGGACATGTTCTATCCTGGAGGACGGTTAGCATGAATGAGGCAGGCGGCTGAGTTGCTGCGAAAATCATGACAGAAAAGAGAAAAATTATCTATTTCTGCTCCCCAGAAGGCACACACATTCTTGGGCTGGCCAAACTGTGAGGGGAGATGTTGGGGTTCTCTGCAACAGAAAGGAAGCTTTCTGCTAAGGAGAGGACGACAGAGACAGGGTGGCCTCTAGCTGAGCACTCATCACAAGTGGGGTCCACTTAGTCTCTGCAGCCGCTTCCTGGGTGGCTCTCAAGCCATTCCAGACAGAATCAAAAATATAGGAGGCATTAAGTGTTTCAGATCTGTTCTCTGAACAGAAGGGCATGATAACAAATTTAAGTATACTTAACAAAATAACAAAGAAACACACTCAAAAAAGAAACAGCTTTTCACAAGGCTTACTATACTTTTAGTGAAAGGGCGTAGTGGCTGGCAATACTAGGATTTAGTACAGAGGACAAATCTTGGAAATCCTGTGATAGTTTTCTGGTTAACTCTGGCCCTAGCATACATTAAATGTGACGGAAACAAAGAAAAGGGGCTCCAGTGAGCTTTGTGTCACAGATTCTAGACACATCTGCAGGTGCCCTGTCAACAGACAAAGTCTTCAAACACTAAACTATGTGAGAAATCCTGGTGCGATTGAGCTCAAAGCATAAAATCAAATGCATGTGTTAGAGTTATACATTCATACACTCATTTTTGGGCCACAATATGTTTAATGGTTCTTGTTAGTTTCAACCTGGAGGAAGCTTTAATAGGCCAAGACTTCTAGTTTATTCTTTAAAGATAAAAACACTGGGGCTGGGGATTTAGCGGCATAAGCACCTGCCTTGCAAGTGTGCGGTCGTGAGTTCAATCCCTGGTACCGATAAAACGAAAACGACAAAAAAATAAAAACACTGAGGTACAATGGCTTCCCCTCATTATGGCTCCTGTTGAAGGGTAGCAAGACAGTTTTACAACCTGTCTGTTTGGATTTCTTTCTAACTCAGTATGAAAGGAAAAAATATATACAGAATAAAATAATGTCACTTTCTCTTAAACAGGTTTGGAAACAAAGTCAAATGTTAAGCTTTGGACTATTTTCATACTTTTGACTCAGTTGGAAAGCACTCTAAAGGAAGCAGAGATTAGAAGCCAGAAAAAGTATCTGTTACAAAATTACAGAGAACAGAGCGCATATGTTATCATAGCTTGGTAGAGTTTTGTTATTCTCTGTGAAAACGAAATACATAATAGTTGGCCCTGACCCCTATTTACATTTCTAATCTATAATTAAACATATTTGGTTTGCAATATAGATGACAAATGAAACTACCTTAGGTTTTACTTCCTAAAGTAGTCAATATGTTAGCGTAGTTCTTTTTTAGTGGATGTTATACTTGTAAGAGAATCTTCTTAATAGTTGCATCTATTTCCATCTCTCAGATCAAAAGGCAGGATGTCTTTCTAGCAATATATATTTTCTACTTTTTTTTACATTACTATTTTAACTGTACAAATTGATAGAATGTACGGTGATAATCCCATACATGTACATGAACGCTGTGTACTTTGGAAAAAAAAATAATCACTGAGTAGCCTGCGAATGGCTTCTTGTCACTTTCTTTATCTTCAAGAAGGACCTTTCCAAACATATTTTATGTCCTTAAATGCTGCATTTGTGACCCCCATGTGGAATATGGAAAGGATCTCGGGAATCAGTGAAGGAGAACATACATTTTGTAAGAGATATGATAGAAAATCCAATAAAGACAAAAATAAGTAGAAATACAGAAATTGGAGAATCCAATTAAAAAAAATTCAAATAACGTGGAATTGGAAAAATGGATAAACATTAAGTAGAGATTTAGACAATACAACACCAATTCCCAAACCACCCAGGATCACAGATTTATTTTAATGCCAATTTGGTTATTATGCAGCATGTCACTGTGAACTTAAGCAAGTGATTGTGTGAGGTGGCAGTCTCCTCTTTTCCCCTTGTCCTTTGGAGCATGTTCCTCCCCACAGTGACCAGAAGAGTTGGGCCAAATCATGATTTAGTGTGAACAAATCATGTTCTTCATTAAACCTAGACTTGATAGGTCAACTGCCTGCTTTCTAACATCTGGAACTGCTACTCCAGAGAAAACATAAAAAGCACTGGGAAGGAGCCAACTTTCCCAGGTCCTGGAGACAGGAAATAGTTCCTCTACTGAAGACCAGTGCTGCACTCCATACGTGCCAGCCTGTTCATAATTTTCTGGCTTTCCCTCCTTCCCTCTCAGGGAAGAGGCTTAGCACAGCAGTCTTGGGGTTTGCCTTAAATTCCACGATTAAGTCCCAGATTCCTTTATCCAGCAAAAACTGAGCACCCATTCTCTGCACAAACCCACAATGGCCATCAAAGGCATCAGAATGACTCTATGAAAATGCCATTAACACTAGGGAAGCTTTCTTTCAGCCTCCTCCGAAGAATTTTGTGAGAATCTGGAACCCATTCCCTCTTCATCCTCACTTGACCACATACACAGTGTCTCTCCAGACCACAGTGTCTCCTTGACCTTCCCACAAACCCCAAGCCTCTGTTTTGTTATCCCATGTGAAACCCTGCCAACAACCTACAAGGGGCCTGCTTTGTTGTTTTGCTGCCCTGTGGCTGGTAGGGCTGTTCCCACATCCAGGAACTGCTTAACTGACGTCTGTCTGCGGTGGCACCTTCTCTGTGGGCAGCAGCACTCTGTCCTGATCACGGAGATCAAGTTATACTGAGCTCTCATGAAAAGGGAAGGAACAAATTAAGACCTGTCAGACATCAGCGCATCTTCCCCACATCTCCTGCCACAAACTGTCCACAGCCACACAGTGTTCGTCATTCACAGTGAAAATGTGTGTGTTGTCACTGTGCACAGGTATGTGTGTTAACTCCAGAATCCTGATGTAGTAACAACTGAAAAGTCATAGATGGGTCAGAGAACAGCAGTTACAACAGCAATAATGCAAGAAGAAAATTTCATTTTTGTTCACCTTCTTTAGCTCTTTACCTTTCTTGCTTGAAATCTAAAATTTATCTGAAAATTAGCAATGACACTCTATACTCCACAGAAGACGAGTATGAACTTATTATCCTTGTAAGTCTGTCATTTTTGGGTTGCCCTTCATTTAAAACTGAATCCATAAAGGGTAATAACAAAGTTATGTTGAAATCTCTATAGCCCAATCACTGAATGTAAAACATTATTTTGGATTCTACATGGTACAATCCCTTTCTAATTCTGACTCAGTTTTCCATTACGAGCTGTTACCTTGATCCAGAAATCATCTCTAATAATCTTATGTACCCAAAACACAACCTAAAACTAGGGTGTTGGTAACATATATTCTGAATTGCATTTACATGCTATAAAAACTATATACTAAATGTGTTAATAACTTGTAATATCAAAAAGTTGAAAGAAAACATAGTTATAATAGCAAAAGAAAGCCTCTGACAAAATTAATTAGGTACCACTATTAAAGTTCTTAATAAAAATATGGACCAAAACTACATAAGCACAAAAAAGGACATTTTACCAATAATCAATAATGAATATGAAATTAATAGTGAACCATTTTCATTAAAATTCAGAAGACAGACCTGTCTTTGTTAATGCTTATTCAGAGGTTCAATTTAATGCAGTAATTCAAGGAAATGAATGATCATTATAAATATTAAAAAGAAGGCTAATATTTTTATCTGCAGATGATATGACTGAATAAATAATGTTTGGTAAAAATAACATTTTTAGCTAAAGTTTTTAGCGTGACCAAAAAAAGTAAATATTTAGAAGTTTTTGTTATCTAGAAATACCCAGTTAGAATCTCAAATAGAGCTTTAAAAACTTAAATCCAGTGTTCATTTGGGGGGAAAATTCTACAATATCTTATTAAAAGTCATAGAAAGAAATTGAGGGAAAAGGTAAAAAGAATTTTTATTCACAGATACAGTTCATTGGTATTTACTCAAAGATGATCACGTATTTGTACAGCTTACAGAAGTCATTCAACTATAATAAACACACTATATATTATATATAAATTGTATGTATAATTTCTATTAGTTTTCTAAAGGCCGTAATGTACTAATTATTTATTCCATATTATATGCCAGGGGAAAATATGGTTAGTATGATTACTACTTGAACATTACAGATGTTTCTAAGGACCTAAACTAGGTCCTCAAATCTTTGTTTTCAAGTGTTACCTTCTAGAGTCTTTTCTCTCATTCTACACACACAGTCAATGAGCTTGAGTATTCAGTCTTCCAGACATAATGGATTAAGAGCAATTAGAAGTAGGGTGAGTAGACCCCACAATATCCTTGTTACCCCTATTTTATGCGGATCAGAGAACTCTGTGATCTCACGTAATTATACAATGTAAAATAATGAATAGTATTATTACCAGAGTATGAAATCATAGGAAGCTAACTTTATGCTTTTTAAAGATGCCTAGGTACACATCTCATTTGAAAGCCAATCTATCTAGCAACACTTAAACTGAAAATGACAGTCCTAACCACTCAGCTTTTCAGAACAACACACTCATCATGGATTCCGAAGAGCAAATATTTTATAGTTTTTTCCTTATTGCTTCCTCTGTTATCTTCATTCATCACTGCTGTCTGTGATTCAGTTCTACACATTGAACTAGAATAGCTTTTTCAAACGTAGGGATACTTTATAGGTGCTTCTGGGGGTACTGTGTACAATTACAGACACAGGATACTGAACAGTCTCCCCAAATCTTCCAAGCTTCTCTCTCATATCATTGTGAATGGTCAGAAAAACACCAGGGCATCCCTTACCGTTCCCCTGTGTAGCCTGGGCTGCAATGACATTGGCCTGTGGTAGCATCACATGTCCCTCCATTATGGCACTGACATTCTTGGGAACAGTTCTTTCCAAAGCGACCCTCCGGGCAAGGTTGGCCACAGACTGTGCCCTGCATTCAAAGAGACATGGAAAATTAGATGGGCCTCCAGCCAGAGAAGGACCAAACTAAGGAACAGAAAAGAGAGGAAGCAGAAGGGAAGGGGAAATGGGGAAAGGACTGCAAGACAATTGATGAAGGGCATTTTAGAACACACAGTTCATCACCTTAAAATGTTTGAAATTTTAGAGGGACTTATTTCCTTCCTAAGTCCAAATCTCAAGATATATTCAAAGACAGCAAAACAGTAATCCTGAGGAAAAAAAAACTGAAGCATAAGATAAAGTTACATCACACCATTATGATGATCTAAGGAATGTATGGGGTAAGTCCTCCTAAATGCTCTTCCTGTGTCTGATACGCACAGTGAGTCAACAATACTTATTGAGAATCCCTTACATAAATGGCAACATCTGGTCCAAATGGACTATCCAAATGTTTTACCATATGTTCCAGAGAAAACACATATCACACATATCATCATTGGCTTCATTTCTTAAAATGTATCCCAATGTAAGATTAAAATTTTGTGTACCTGAATTAACAACAGCACTGACCAAGAACTACTCTATAGGAATTTATTTCAGAAGAAAAAGACTTATTCTCAGCAGTTCCATTAAGTACTTCTGAGCCAAGATCAATAAAAAAGGCTTATTTCCCAGGGGAAAAAAAAATCAAGAGAGTAATTTGGGTATTTCTCCTCCAAAAGCTGTCCACCTTTTCCAGCTCGGTTTTTACATTTATTACAATCCTACATGTATAAGAATAAGATACCAAGAAGCAGATGAAATACTCTATTATTTTCTACCTCACTAAGCTACACAACTTGGTAGTTTTGGGTTTATTAGAGTTATAATTATTGGAGTGTCTATTGGATTATAATTATAGCAAAGAACATATTTCATATAACAGGGATTTTTCTAATTCTTTTAACTATCAGAAAATCATTGTCCTCCCTCTGTTTAAAAAAGGCAGACTGTGAGCACCATGAAATTGGAGGCTAGCACACACCAGATGGTTTTGTAAATGTTTACTCTGGATAGCATAAGAAAATACATTTTCTGTAACTACTGGCTACCCACAAAGGCAGTTGGTGTGCTAATTAAGTCTCCTCTGGTGGTTTCTAGCTATCTGCAAACAGAAAAAGTTCGTCCGCAGACTCTTGGAACTGAAAAAGCCTTTGAGAGATAATTCAAATTAGGGCTTAACTGAAACTTATCTGTGTGCCAAGCACTGAGAATTAAGCATGGATAAAGACACAGTTCCTAATTCATTCACAAGCCAGCGTGGGGGACACACATAAAAACAGCTCCAACTCCTCATTACTTACTTAGTGTAAGGTCAAAGGACAGCATGATGAGGATCAGCGCATAGTGGGCTGTGGTTTTTGTGCAAAGTTTTACTCTCAGAACTTGTTTCTAACTACCCATAATGCTTCCGTGCAAGGTCAGGTATGCAGCTGAAACATTTATGAGCAAGGCCTACTGTGAGCAAGCATCTCTGAGGAGACATTATTTCTATTAGTTTAAGTATGCCTGTGTGTATTTATCTAATAGGACTACATGTTCACCTTGGAAAAACTTCTAAAATGATAGCACACATACAGTGTCATAAGAGACAAATATAAGTGAGAAGATCCGCTACACAGAGAAGAAAAAATGATCTCAAGACTCAGTGAGAAGCCTCTTTGAAGGCAGGAGCCTCACACAGAGGAAGGGCTGGGATGTGGGCTCCACTGGACCCAGGGAAGGGCCATATCTCTGCTCACTGCTCACATGGTCCAGGTCAATTAGCTCACATAACAACCATTCCACCAGGGAAGAAAAAAGCTGCAAACTGAAGAAGAAACAACTCACAAATAATACCAAGACAAGAGCATCAGGAAGGAGAACACCTGCAGCTCCATCTGCACAGTCCAGAGCCCTCTGGACACAACCAGTCCAGTAAATCTTTCCCTTGCGAAGGACCAACCAACAACTTGTTCTGGCAAAAGACTGAACACAGAAAAGTAAACAAGAATTGGAGTCAAAGATAGTCTGGTATTTCTACCTTGGGTAATGAAGTGCTGAATTTCCCTCTGATAAAAAAGGTAAAGGCTGGGTGTGGTGGCACACACCTGTAATGCCAGCATTCTGGGAGGCCGTGCTAGGAAGTTTCAAGGTTGAGCTCAGCCAGGGAAATTTAGCAACTTAGCAAGACTCTGTCTGAAAATTAAAACCTAAATAAACAGATAAGGGATGGGGCTGTAACTCAGCAGGAAAATACTGGGTTTAATCTCTGATACCAGAGAGTTTTTAAAAGGTAGAGGAGGAATGGCTGTGAGAGTCTTAGACACATTTGGCTTCATTAGCAGTAAATTTGCTGCAGTTGCTGGGACCAGCTCTGGTGTTCCTTCAATAGCTTTTCTGTTGGCTGCATCCTCAGGAATGCCCTCAATACAAGGCAGCTTCCCTTTGAAGCCCTTGTCTTGTGGAATTTCTTCTTGTTTTGTTTCTAGAGTCGGACCTTGGTCAACCTACCATTTCTAACCCTTTGGTACTTGTTGTATATTTGTCTCAGCGGACTAGACATCTTGATCATTACCATACTTTGGGAGACCATTCTTGGGAAGCAGACTCCAGGTTTCCTTTGTTCCAGATCCACAAAATTCCAGAAATTCCAGGCCATTTTACATCCACATCTGGCTATGGAGACTCCAGTTTAAGCATAGCCCGGGGACATAGTATCTTTGTGTCTCTTGGTTATCAAAGTTGCAGTGTCGATAAGGATGGTTGACCAATATACATCTGGGCTTAGGGTAGGGAAGACTGAGATTTGGCACAATCAGCAGATAGTTGCAAAAGTCATGGATCGGCATGAAATTTCTAGAGAGGGTTTATAGTGAGCAAAAGAAAAATAAAGCAAAAACCTAGGAAATGCCAAATTAAAGGGGTATGTGAATAAAAGAGGGTCAGGAAAAGAGATCTGTAATAAGAGACGTAAAAAAGAGGGTTATGAGAGGGAATGCAAGTTGAGGGTATAGCTCAGCAGCACAAGCGTCTGCCTGGCAAGCACAAGGTCCGGGGTTTGATTCCTGGTACCTTAAAAAAAAATAGAGGAATGGAAGGCAAACGTTAACAAAGAGAGGTAAGTGATCACAACTTTAGAGAAGTGAAGCAGAGTAAAAACAGAAGAGTCCTCAGTGCATTTGGCCAGTAAAAAGCCACTTGTTACCTTGGAAACTGAGAGAGGTAGCTGATAATGAAGACAGATGAGGAACAGTTCTTTTAACTAGATTGTTAATGAAGCAAACAGGCATTGGTCATTCACTCTTCTGCAAAAACCAACCCAGAAAGTTAAGAACCGAAATTATTTCCTGATTGCCCGTAAGTCTAATTAGTAAATGAGCTGACACTGGGTGTTGTATATAGCACTAAACCTATGAAACTGTTACATGAAGAAAAGGTGTAAAGGTGAAATTTGGGGAGTTTAACGAGTTATAGCTTCCTCCTGTATCGCCACACTGAGGTCTCTGAGAAGTCCTGCAATATTCAGTGCATTTAGCTTACTTCCATCCGTCTCCAGATTTGTATGACTGGATAAAGTTTTTCACACAACACTTAATCTACTGAGAATAATGTTCTCCAAAAATAAAAGCAACCGATGTACATAATTATGAAATAGTTCTTAAACAATTCCTGTATTTATCAGCTCTGCATCATTTTGCCATTAGGGAAAAATGTAGGACAGATGGCCACTATCTGTCCCATGAAGGTCCTCCATATACTTCAAGTCCACATCTAGATCATCCCACTTTCTCTGAACGCAAGGCTTTCAGTTTTAAAGCAGCTATGTGTTTCCAGTTTGGGAATCTTTATCTACCCTTGCTGCTGTCTTTTGCTCAGAAACTCTTCACCTGATTTCCACATGAGTGACCTGAGGAGAGGGGCAGAGCAGGAGGACACTTACCATCCAGCCAGGAGGGCAGGAGCATTCTCCAGTGACATGGTGGCACACTCCTCCATTTTGGCAGGGGCACCTCTGTTCACACTGTGGTCCATGCTTGCCAGGGGGGCAAAGATCCTCACAGCTGAGGGATTAAAGTATAACAAAGGCCACTGTTATTTACCCAACCATATGACCCTCAGGCTCACAGACACAACCAGGGTCTGGAATAGACAAGATTTTCCCATTAGATGAGCATTTAATTAACATCCAAGGCATTTATCTTGTTGCCTAAAAATGTCTTGGGGGGCTCACTTTCCCTTTCTTTCCCTGCAATATTCAGTGCATTTAGCTTACTTCCATCCGTCTCCAGATTTGTATGACTGGATAAAGTTTTTCATACAATACAATCTACTGAGAATAACGTTGTCCCTTTCTTTTGAGGTACTTTCTAAGGAAACAATTTCAGTTTGAAGAAAATCTTTCCATTTTTCAAAGAGAGCACTCTTTTAAAAATGGCCAAATCACCACTTATCAGTGACAAGAACTTTGTGCATAAACCTCAGAAAACACTTGTGCCACTGTTATGCCTGCCTTTCTTTGTGTTTATTCTAATTTCAAAGACAATCAAACCATCCGCAAATTACCCCTTTGGTGCACATATTCGTCATAGTCAATTTTCAGCACTTCTTCAGAGAGACAAGCCTCCCTTCCTTTGGCCCCCTATGTCGCTCGGATCTTGTTGTCTAAGCCTGTGTCTCTTTTGCTCTCTTGTGAAGTAGCTCCAACTTTCCCACAGCCCTATTCAACTGGGGCCTCTTTGAAAACCCATAAAAAATATTAACAATTAAACAGTTTGAGATGATGATCATCCATTCTTTTGAAAAGTAGGGCCTTCTGGGCAGTTTTTTTCTTTAGCTCTTCTTTATGGACATTAACACATGGCAGAAAGTATTTACCCAATGTGCCCCACTTTTTCCTAAGTTTTAGTTCTGTGCTATATAAGCATAATTTTCTCAGTAAGGGAACAAGATGTTTCTGTTTCATAATTTTTTGGAAAGGTAAATTCTGCCTTTATTGTGCTTGCTAACAGAAGCAAACTGAAGAATCCCCTTCCTGATAAGATAAAGAAAGCAATGGGAATTGAATAGCTGCTTCAAAGTTCTCCAGAAAAGCTAAAAACTATTGCATGCATACTATCTATACAGATTGGATATACACATCTTGATAGTCACGCAGCAACATACACAACCTTGGGCACCAAGTCATCCAGTTCATCTTTGTAAACTTGTATGAACTGTTTGTAACATCTTCCTTTTCTAAGGAAAGACTCTAACCCACCCTGCTTTATCCAGCTAATTGTCAGAGAGCAGAACGATCTGGCCCATGATTGTTCTGTAGCAGTGTAAAGCGCATATAATTGTGGCAGAATAAAAACAGAACTCAAATCTGCAGAAAGACCTCTGTTGCTACTCACACAACGTGAGCCTTTCAGCTTGCTGAGCTAATCCTTTGATTCTACCCGGGTTCTGACAGTGAAAGGCTAAACAGCAGGGGGACCCAGGGGCCATTCCTGCTCGTCTCCCTCTCTGTGTTCGGGGTCCATACACACCAGTAGCTATTCAGACTGCAGTAGAAACAGAGGCACAAGGAACACGATGAGAGGGCAGGTATGTTCTGCCTCCCTGCTTAGCAGCGTATGGGTCACTTACAAGGCCCCAGTGTATCCTGGTGGGCAACGGCATTCCCCCGTGACATGGTCGCAGGTGGCTCCATTCTGGCACTGGCATCTCTGGTGACAGTCATTACCATAGCTGCCCTGCTCACAGCGGTCCTCACAACGCCAGCCCCGGAAGCCAGCAGCGCAGTGGCAAGCCCCAGTAATGGGGTTACACAGAGCTTCGTTTTTGCACTGGCACCGGCTGCTGCAGTGAGGCCCCCAGTGATCACCATCGCACGCTGAAGTTGGGGAGAGAAACAGAGGGTGATATCAGAGCGCGGGCGTGGACTGTGGCCAGCTTTCCCCTTCCCTAGGGAACGGTAGGGTGACCCTGCATCCACTCTGGGCCTCTGCCTTTGACTCATGGTAATGCTTCACACTGGTGCTTAGCACAGCTCAGCCACATCCTATGATTCCACTGCTGAAGCTTGACAAGCGCATTTCCAGCTCCAAGCCTTTGAGCAGTCTGTTTCCTGCACCCAGAATATAGAATGGGATGTGGCTGGAGGAATGAATGGGTGCAGGAAGAATGCAAAGGTGTGGTGGGACAGGTGGTGCCCAGGCAGCTGGGAAGGATCAGTGCATGCTGGGGATGTTATGCACTTGAAGGGATTTAGGTCACATTTTGTGGACAAGAGGTTGGGAATGAAGGATTTAAAGCAAGGGGAGAAGGCACAATTCGCCTCTTACTATGTTTGAGAGTATGAAGCAGAATGATTGAACAGGATAGTGAGGTCAGTGAAGGAGACTGATCCCAGCCAGTGACAGCAAAAATGGAGGGGGGCCCCAGGACAGGGCCACTGGGGAGCAGACTGACCCTGCTTCTTTCAAGAAAACAGCTGATCTGCCTCAAGGCTTCAGTCTAAGTATGTATGTTTGGTTAAGTCCAAGCCCCTCCCAAAGAAAAGACAAGAGAACACTGGATGAATACCTCCAAGTATAGTGACCTACTTCAGAAATGGGACAAACTCCAAACTGAAAATGGACTGCAAATCAAAAGATAATAGGCACGTGAAACCAGGCGAGACAAAGTCAGAAAATAACACTTGAAGGGTATATTTAAAGTGAAGGAAAGGAAGGGTGATTGTAAGACAAAACTCAATGAGCAGTAAAACAGGAGCAAAGAAAGAAAGAAATCTCAGCCTCAGACATCCTAAAATATTACAATGGGTGTCAACAAATAAAATCTACTCAATGTGCAGTGCCCAACCAGCAGAGCACTTATTTATTAACCAGACGCTGTACAAATCACTAGGGGAAGAGACACCCTACCGAGGACTCTAAAGATAAGCTACTTTTATGATTTTAAAAATTTTAGAAACACTTTTGTAATTTCAACAGACCAGGAATCAACTCTCGTTTAAAAATAATAATAAGTTTGAGCACACAGTAAGCAACTCATTAGAAGTGTTGGATCTGTCCTCTAGTATTAGAATCTATTTTTGATTTTGTAATGTTGCAAAGTTTAAATACATAATTTTGTTTTTAATCAGCACGATTTTGGTCTCATTAGTATTTTAATAAACAGACATTAACCCAACTTAAAACAATGAGAGATTTTTTTGAGCCTAAAGCAGATCAAGAAAGCAATTACCCAGGAATTCACAATCTTCTTTCACAAAATAAAATTAGGCACAAAATAAAATGGGATTTAAGCCTCATTGTATTCATATCACTTATTTCTTTTTACTGCTTAGGTATATGGACACAGAGCTATTTTTTTTTTTTAAAGTAACTTTTAAACTAGGATCTTCAAAGAAAATCATTTTAAAATGTTACATGGTATGTTCCTTCAGATCTTCATGGCTATCTCAGGCAGAGAACATTTTATCCTGTTTTTTTTTTTTTTTTTCCCTAGGATTCCAAAGTAAGTCAACCAGTCTTTTATAATCTGTTCCCTGGTTAGTCAATCCTCAAGAGTAAAGAAAATCATCAGCTCACCTAAGACAAATCTGTTGCCCAGAACTGAATCCAGTTTCCCTTGCCTTTCTGACAGTGTAGTCAACCTAAGATATTGCTATCTCCAATTTTATAAAACATCTTAGCGTTGGCACACAAATACAACAATGACCCTGTTCTTTTCTAAACTAAATACTGCGACAACACTTTTATTTATTTTTCCAAAAGCTGTTCTTTTTCAGACCCTGTATTTCAAGTTCAAGAAGCCTCCAACAGTGAAATCATGGGGTGTCTGCACTTTCAAAAGAAAGTTAGTTGATTGACAAAAAAAGACTAACAAAATTACCTTAAAAAGTATATTGAGATTCTGTCAAAAACACTTAAAAAACTGTGATAGCCAGTAGAGAGCCTCCCCACCCTCACTGTGACACTGGGGCCTGGAGCATGGATGTTTCAGAGAGTACCAGAAACAATAGCTGGGCACAGAGTAGAGGCACTGGCTAGGATTCTTTATGACACTTTCTACGTCCCATTCAGCAGCTGCCCTGAAGAGCAGTCAAGGAGAGATCAACAAAGCAAGACATAAAAAGGAAAAAGAAAACCCAGGAAAACTCTAAGACATCTCATGATGAAAACAGTACAGATTAGCCGGGCACGCAGGAGGTGAGGCAGGGGAATCATGGTGGGTTTGAGGCTAGTCTGGACTAAAAATGTGAGTTCAAAGTCAGTCTGCTTTAAATAGCAAGACCCTGTCTCAAACCTCCAACATCACCCAAAATGAAACAAGTAAGAAATAGTACATATTGATAATTATTAGCATAGGAAAAGAGGTTTCAGGCTTTACAGGAAATATTATCATGCCGTGGACATGGTTAATTTCCTGGCTATATCTAAGCACTGTGGCATGCTTTGAAGTGATAGCTTTCCTGCTTTGAGCTACATTTTCTTAAAAGGCCACTGATACACAGATCTCACAATGCAAATACTGTTGTATTGAGAAGGGCTCCTCTGGGGGGGGGCAGGGAATATATATATATGAATGACACAGAAACCTGGGTTCAATTCAATGTGACTGCCTTTCCTTTCTCTATTTATTATAGCTAAACTAATTCATCCATTCTTAGGTGTATCCCATGGTGTCAACACTATCTATGGTATAAAAAAATCAGCTTTTTCCCCCCAACCCCCACAGGTTCTAGGGTATGCAGAATTTGTCTACACAAGAAGCAAAATTTTTGTACCAGTAATGAGTGTAAAATTTGACCAATTATCCTCAGTTCAAGCACCATATTTGACTAGTTTACAAAGAGTATAAACATAAACATCTGACATCTTTTAATTAATGTTTTAACCAAGAGGCAAGAGTTTCACTCCACCAGAGAAACTGACTAGTCACTCCTACTGCCGATTTAGAAAAACTTAACAACAAACAAGTGTCTTAAGAAGGGGAAAAAAAATCAAAAGAACAAGATTTTTTTCAGATTAAGTGGAAAGACTCTAAATGCTGGTAAGTCAGTGATGACTCATTTTTAGCTTTTCGTTTCAGCTCTCACTGGACCAACAGCTGGAAATAGACTCTAAGATGCAATATGCCCTGATTCATGCAATGTACAAGAGACAACTTAATGAAGATCTCAGACAGGCACAGACAGCTTGCTCTAAAATAAGCGCTCATAATAAACTTGAAATTAAAGGAATTTTAAACTGAGTAATATCAGAAGTACATAATCTATGTTTCAACTCTTAGTGAAAATTAGCAAAGCGCTAGATCATCCCAAAACAATGAACTCATGCTGGAACCCTTATGACTACAACAAGAAACCATGGGTTACATTCATGGGCTGGGCAATGTGGTTCATTCAGTTTAAATCTATTATATACCTGCCATGTGCTGGGCCAGGTGCCAGGAGTACAAAGCAGAACAAAAAAACACTTATTTCTAGCTGTTAGTTTAACGAGACAGACATCAAGTCATTGGGAAATAAAATACTGTGCAATAAATAATAAAGTTAAGGGTATGGGATAGGTACAGTGGGAAACAGAGCTATGGTAATTAACAAATTTCAGGATACCAGAAACAGCTCCCCAGCTAAAGTATGTGTAAGCTTAGACCTACAGGCAGAGTGTATCATATTCAGTTAAATGGTAGAGGATTTTAAAATAGGAAGTCACAGTGTGAGAGGGCTGAAGTCTGCAAGCGGTATTTAATTCAGAGAATGATACAACAGTCAAAGGGTCCATGAATGCCATCGCAGGCTTCTGCACAACTGCACTAAGGCCTATGTCATTGCCCCAGAAATACGGGTAGAAAAGGATACACAGCAGACCCTCCCATCTCCCTATCAGTCCTCCTCAGTCTTCCAAAAGTGGCCAGAGAGCACTTTGTTCTTCAGGAACAATTTGGAGATCTAAGCAAAGATGCTCTCTGAAAACAACATAACCTATTTTTTACATCATTCACTTCACACTTAGGTCACAATTTTATGTATCTCTGCCCAGTTCATGTCTCCTAAATGAAAATGAAATCCATAAAATGTTAAGATATACTGATGTCCTTTCTTGATCCTAGTAGTTGCAAATAAGTTAGATACTTTCTAATTCCATGAAAGTCAGAACTTTGTAAATCTGGGCATGTTGAATCATGGGTAGGATATAATAATGATGAGCCTGATATCTTTTCCCATAATAGAAACACTCTTATACAGTACTGCTGAAGAGTAAATTTCCTTTTATACTATAGGTTTTTAGAGCTCATTCTGAAAAACTGTACTAAAAGCCTCTTATCCATAATTTTTTGAGATAAATAAGCAAGTGTGTGTTTAAAGATAATAGCTAAACACTTAATTCATTAAAAATACTTGTATGCCCACAGATCCTATTCCAAACACTAGCAATAGATTCATTCTGAGTGGTTCTATGGTGTCTAAAATATCCTTATTTTATGGATGAAGAAATGGAGACTTAGTTGATATGATCAAAGTCACATAGGTATTAAGGGTTATGCATACACCATCTGTCTCTAGAGTGTGTGTGTGTATGTGTGTGTGTGTTTTCTTTTGAGACAGGATCTCTCTGTGTAGTCCAGTCTGACCTTGAACTCAATAAGTAACCCAGACTGACCTTGAAATTATAGTGATCCTCCTTCTTCAGCCTCCCAAGTGCTGGGCTTACAAGTGTGTGCCACCATACCCAGCCACAGTCTATGTTCTAAACCACTATATTTCAGTTCTCTAAAGCTAATACAGCTATTTATCTCCCATTGTTTACAATAATAAACAATTGGAAACAACTTAATTTTCCAGTCATAGGAGACTGATTTAAAAAACAATAGTCATACAAT